AGTAGCGCCACGCACTCTCGGCAGCCCTAAACCTACACGGTTCCGCATGCTCGGGGGCGTGCGCACCTTTCCTCAGCGTACACCAGCTCAAACCATCACAGATGTGAGCCCGCAGCCTGAGCACAGCACAGTAGCGCCACGCACTCTCGGCAGCCCTAAACCTACACGGTTCCGCATGCTCGGGGGCGTGCGCACCTTTCCTCAGCGTACACCAGCTCACACCATCACAGATGTGAGCCCGCAGCCTGAGCACGGCACAGAAGCCCCGCGCACATGCGGCAGCCCTAAACCTACACGGTTCCGCAAGCTCAGGGGCACGCGCACCTTTCCCTTAGCGCACGCCAGCTCACATCAGCACGGATGTGAGCCCGCAGCCTGAGTGCAGCACACATGACAGCGGTGATTGGCGTCCATAAATAACGTGATGCAGCATAAACGCGTGCCCGCTTCCCGAACATTATGTGGAGTGGCAAGGAGCATGCGCTCTAGACAGATGGATGAACCGTTCTTATCAGCAGGGGATTCACGCTGCAGTTACAGCTCAAACCCCCGTTTGGAGGAACTTTAGAGACGTTTTCTGTCATCTCCAGAACAGATCTTGTCCCCCCACGCAGAAGTTCAGAAAATTCTGATAAAAAATGTAATTTCCAGGGTTCCAGAAGGAGAGGAAAACACAGGGTTCTACTCTCGTCACTTCCTGGTCCCAAAACGGACCGGAGGGATGAGATTCATCTTAGATTTGTCAATTTTCAACCGTGAGACAACATTTCTATTCAAAATGCATCAAGTCGGCTCTGCTGTCGCCACACAGAGCAGGGAGGAGAATTCTGTTTTATCTGGACGATCTGTTGCTGTTGACCCGCTTTTCCAGACAGGTGGCAGCAGTGCAACTCACGTGAAACCGGCAGAGTGATAATAGCGGTTTCCGTCATGAAGTTATTAAGGACATGTCGCCTGCTCACACGGTGCGACGCCTCCATAGGTGGTCCGCCTCCATAGGTGGTCCGCTCATTTGCGTGTGGACCCAGTGAGGCAGAAGAGACGGTTGATCGGTGAGAATCGACCCGAGACACTGGGAAACCCTCTTGTTCTGTCGGAGGGAGTTCCATCAGCAGACCTACGTCACACGTGTCAGTCTTCACAGACGCATCCCTGTCAGGCTGGGAAGGCACATGCATGTCTCAAGCTATGGGGGCGCTGTGGCCACCCCACACAGCAGCTCATATAAATGTTTTTGGAGTGTTGCAACGTTTTGAATGTGAATGAATGTGAATCGTTTGAATGAATTCCCCTTGAGAAGCCGGGCCAGAATTCTGGGAGGCCAGCCGGTCCCAGGAACCATGGAAAAGACATCAAACACGCGTCAAGTCAGAAATATCCGACCCGCGCCTTGACAGTGGAAAAGGGGCAATAAATACTGAGAGGAGGATGGCTGCGGTCCGCTCTTCTTGCAGTCAAACACGAAGCAACTTTCCTCTCTTAAATTGATTCCATGCACAGTCAGGCGTAGGGCTGGGCGATATGGACCAAAATTAATATCTCAATATTGTTACAAAAATCGTGACATACGAGATATATCCCGATATTTTTTCTTTCCATACAGTAATAACAAAAATATATTTGAGTCAAAGTTTTGTCACACAGGCACATTTATTAACAACAGCTGTAAATGTACAAAATAAATGTCTAAAAAATAAACAATTTACATATATTAAATAGTTTATTTTATTAGACATTTATTTACATATATTTAATAATAATCCTCTTACGCTGGGGGCAGCTGTGGTTGAGAGGCTAGAGCAGTCGTCCTTCAATGGGAGAGTTGGGGGTTCAATCCCACAAGCAGTCACATGCTGAAGTGTCTCTGGGCAAGACACTGAACCCCTCATTGCCTCTGATGCGTGTCCCATCGGTGTATGAAAGTGATAAAGCTCTGATTATTCTTTGTAGAGATCTAGTAGAGTGCTGCTTGAATGGGTAAATGAGGACACAGATTGTGTTGTACAGAGCTTTGAGTATCTTGACAAGACAGAAAGGCTCTATATAGTTCATTCAGCTGCGCCGCCTCCACCTTAGCAAGCATGTGAACTGCAGGTCCAACAGAAACTGTGTCCTTCCTTGAAGCAAACCACAGTTCAGAGCTCATTTAGCTGTGCCTTTTAGAGGAACATAGAGAGGAAGCGCGACATTAATAAATCAGCAGTTTATCATATCGCTAAAGATACGGTCCCGTCAGCTGTTGAACAAGACGGCTCACACACGCTCAGCTGCTGGGTTAACTTATGTTAAACGTCTCCTCCCCTGCTCGCCCACCTCCTAGAGAAGCAGGAAGGGGAGGGCGGCTAAGGGCTGTGTGTGTGTTCGAGGAGGTAGAATGAGGGGGGTCGCCTGGGAGAAAGAAGACGGCAGGATTTCCAAGTATAAAAATATATAGTTTTATATTGAGATAGCTCAACTTCTATTCCAAAAAAATAATATCTCGATATGATACTGCCCAGCCCTAGTCAGGCGCTTCATCAAATTAGTAGTGTTGCCGACACATGCAACTAGTTCACAACACAGATATTATGGCAAGCCATTTTATCCATTAATAGCCACAAGGTTATGATTGTGGTTATTAATGGATATTATGGCTTGCCGTAACTACACGTGAACCCCGTTTGTGGACGTAACCACGCGTTTTCCCTGGATTTTCCTGCGTGCTGCAAGTTGCAACACTGGCATTGGCTGTCAGAGTTTCTTTATTGTCATTCGCACATGTGGTACATGTGGTGGAACAAAATTATGTTCACAGGGTCCCAGTTACATCCAACAATAAAATGTAAAAGAAAAACAGTAATAAGATCCAAGATATGAACTAAGAAAAACAATTAACTAAAAATACTCTAAACACTAATAGAATAAAAACAATATGCCGAACAGCAGAATGAACATGAGTCAGTGTGAGCAGACGAGCACGCATGAACACCCCAACATGAAACAGATCAGCAGCAACATGAAACAGATCAGCAGCAATGTGATGTGATTTTTCACAGTGATTATTCTAGTTAGAGATTCATGAGTCTAACAGCCTCAGGGTAGAAGCTGTTCCTCAGTCTAGTGGTTCTACACTTAATGCTCCTTAACCTCCTTCCTGAGGAGAGCAGAGCAAAAAGTGTGTGTGCTGGGTGAGTGGGGTCCTTCATGATGCAGGTGGCTCTCTTCCTGCATCTGGAGGTGTAGATGTCTGTGATGGTGCGGAGGCTGACTCCAACAGTCTTCTGTGCAGCCTCCATGCCACACATTGATGTTGGAGCACAGGATGCTCTCCACTGCACACAGACACACACGACTTCCAGGAAGATGGTGCCAGTGCTGGTGGATTGCCATTCACCTCCGTCTGTTTTGATAGTTTTTTTCTGTTTTTGTCATTTTTCTTCGGTGACATAAACTCACTGCTCGTTTATGATCGCCAACAACTTTTAACTATACAGTTATTTACTGCAAACCTCGCCTTGTTCAACCACTTTGATCGGGGCTCTGGACCCCCACCCCCTCTGCTTGTTGATGTCCCGGTTTACCTGCAGCGCGCGGCGTTTCTGCCCACCCGAAAACATCGCTCCAGGCACCGTGGAAGACGTGCCGGCCGTCTCGTGAGGATTAAAGCCAGCATCAAGCTCTCTGCTGCTTCATCATCTGCTGCTGACCATCAGATGTTAAACTGTCCATCCGGATGCTTCGCTGACCCACTCAACTCCAGCCTGCTACAGGTGGCCGGGCCTGGTACACGCAACGGGCGCACGCAACGGGCGCACGCAACGGGCGCACACAACGGGCGCACGTGCAGCCGCGGCGGTTTTAGTCGTCTCCAATGGAACTTAACCAACTTTGGGCTTTCTCCTGCATCATCTCCTGCCGACCAGCTGCTGGATATTCGCCTGTCCGGGTGCTTCGCTGATCCTGCTGGGTCCTGCCTGATCCCCGTAGTTGAGCCTGGCCTGAACCGCGCACGCGCGCACAGCTGTGGCATTTCTGGTCCTAGGAGGCGCGGTTCAAACTCCAAAAATCTGAAACAGCTGATCTGTGCTCCGTGCTCAGCTTTTCCTTCAGCTACCGGTCCTACAAAGATTGCTCTGCTGAATGTGAGGTCGCTGGCAAATAAAACTTTCAGCTTAAACGACTTTTTCTGCTCCAATGGACTGGACTTCATGTTTGTTAGAGACCTGGCTCGTCCCTGGTGAGTTAAGTGTTTTTTCTGAACTTTTGCCGGTGGATTGTGCCTTTTTTAATGATCCAAGTACTTCTGGTAGGGGTGGTGGATTATTAACAGTTTTTAAAAAGCTCTGGAACTGCAGACAGCTACAGGCTGTAGCTTTTCAGAGTTTTGAACTGCTGTATTTTGAGCTGGGCCGCTCCAACCCAACACTGTGCTGCCTGATCTACAGACCACCCTCGTACAACAAAAACTTCATAAGTGAATTTTCTGACTGGAATACTGCTCAATTACAACAGGGTCTTGATTCTGGGAGACTTTAATGTACACGTTTGCTGTCCTGACAAGCCTTTGGTGCAGGAGTTTCTAAATCTGTTACAATCTTTCAACCTTGTGCAAAATATTGTTGGTCCAACTCATCAACAGGGCCATACACTTGATTTAGTTCTGTCTCACGGTTTATCTGTGATTAATCTGGAAATTGGGGATGCTTTTGTTTCAGATCACAAACCCATTTCATTCCAAACCTCTGTTATTCATGAGTCTAAATCCCCCACGTGTAAGATTACAGCCAATCACCTAAACTTGACAATGAAATACGAGGCATATTTTGATACTTACACCAACCATAAAAAAGCAGAAGTTCGGTACTCAGCCCTATTTACTTTTCTTATGATTACATATTGTTCTGTGTACCTCATCTGTGTTCTTTGTTTAAAACAAGTCTCTCTTGTAAATGAGTCCTCATGAGACTAACCTGTATAAATAACAGTTGAATGAATGGATGGAAGAAACACAGTCATTACATCAGTTATCAGCACTAACCTTCCCCTCCCAGTATCCGTGACAGACAAAATTTCCATATTGATCATGCTTTAATATGAAGTGTTTGTACGAGAGTGGGAAATATTTGTAAGTGTGTGGGAAGAGTTTATGAAGCCTTAATATAAGTAAAATAAATATAACGCTGCTGCTTTACAGATTTTCACCTATCGCGGGGGGTTTCAAGAAAGTAACCCCTGCGATAGTTGAGGTTTCACCGGAAGTAAACCGGAAGTAGAACTTCTTCTTTGGTGATTTTTTTAAGGAGAGTTTACCATTCTGCATGACACTACTTCTGTTCAGAACAAAGCCCGATGCATGTAAAAGCTCGTCGTGAGTGGACTGTGCCCATGTAAACAATACATTTGAATTATTTAATCTGAAAACATTTCAATCCGGTCAAATAATTTTAAACATGTAAACATAGCTACTGTATACTGTGCAAATGACCTTAGTAAAAGTTAGTGTGTACATGACCTTGATAAAATTCAATCTTTATTTATAGGTTAGTCTCACTGAGCCTCGAGGACTCATTGTAATCTGTGAAACTGCAACAAAATCATCAGTGAAAAGCAGGAATGTTTAGATACAAACCTGATCTGTGAAGCAGAACTTCTGGGTTGAAAACAGCATCTTGGGTTTTGTTGTGTTGCAGTTTGTCCTTTAAACTCATCGTTCCTCTTTATAATTTGCGACTGTTGTTTCCAGAAACTCCAACATTTCTTCAGTATCCAGTTCCTCTCGTCGTTGTTCAGCCTGATCTCCTCATCTCTGTTAGCTAAAGTTTCCTTAAAATAATAGATACGGAACTGGTACAGATGAACCGAACTCAGGAAGATGAGATTACTGCAAATGTTACAGAAAACTAACTCGTAGTCTAAAAATACAACACAATACTTCTCATTTCTTATCGTCGTTAGTGTAAAAGACGTACTTCCGGTCACTCTTCTTCTGGTGTTTCAGCTGTGCAGCGGTATTATCTGCTCCTCAGCGACGCCTTGTGTTAAAAAGAAGAACTGCAGTGAGTGCAGCACGTCTGAAGGACAGAAAACGAGATCTGTCTGCGGAAATTGTAGAAAGTACAACAGACATATACGTAGATCTAAAAAGTTAAGTCAAGTCCTTTGGACGGGTTCAAAAAACAACAAAAAAATGAAGAAACCTTTCATCTTTCATCCAAAAGACTTCTTCAGTCTTCAGGATCAGGATGACGCCTCATTGAGCGCTGAATCGTACGTCGATGTCGCAGCCATATTGAATGTGGCAAAAGTGAAGGTACAGTCAAGTCATGGTTCTTTATTGTCATTCTCTTCACGTCATGGAACGAAACTGTGTACACAGGGTCCCAGTTACATCCAACAAAATATAAATTGTAATAGAAAAATATTAATAATATCCAAGATATGAGCTAAGAAATACGCTACACTATAAGCACTAATAGTACAAAAACAATACGCTGAACAGCAGCAGCACGAACATGAGTCTGTGTGAGCAGATAGGTCAAGATACATCATTTATTCAGTGATAACACGGAAAAATACTTTTTCCAAGGTTTATAAGTTATACACATGCACGCACAGACGACACACACATATACATATATATATATTTTTTTTTTTTTTTTTTATTTACCTTTTATTTATACATGTAGTCTCCATGAGAAGAACTCATTTTCAAGAGAGACCTGTTTTTTAGGGAGCAGATGGGAGTTAAGGGCCTTGTTCAGGGGTCCAGAGTGGGGCGAATGAGGGTGGGGGCAGGTGTGGGTACTTCACCTACCCCACCCACATTTTTTATGTTGTCGGTACCGGGGCATGAACCTGCGATCTTCTTGTCTCAATTTATCCCTGTGATGGACTGGAGACCCGTCCAGGGTGTACCCTGCCCCTCACACAGGGATTGACGGACATGGGCACCAACGACCCCCTTGACCCAAAATAGAAGAAGCGAGTAAAAGATAATGGATGGATGGATAGTAAATATATTAATGATGACTGTAATAAAATAATGATATAATTAATATCAAAAACACCAATAGTTTTTTGAAGGTTTGTAAAACATGTTAAAAAGCCTTTTTTGTTATGAACTTGTTAACTTTTATATTCTTTGTAAAAGCTGTTGGTAATATTATGTGTATCTACATAAAGCTTAAAGCAGTTTCATGAAGTATTTATTACTGATGTTTATCACAACCTACTTTGTTTAAATGAGCTGTAAGTCATAAAACAAACTTTAAACCACTTCATAATGAAAAGCTCATATTGTCATCTTTGTGCAGAGATGTGCTGTTTGATCCTGCATGGCTGAACACAACCAGCTGTGTAAACAGGAAGAACGTGATTTGTTGTTCTCCATGAGTGAAGTGGCGCCCCCTAGAGGTTATCTGGTGAAATACAGAGTAGAAATATCTTTGTAAAAATGTAAGCAATGTCAAAATATGAAGATTAATGTGCAACAGGATATACATTCTGATTATACAGTATAATAACATTATTGTTTTCTGTTTTAATATATTTTTAAAGAACACTTTTACATAAAAACAGATAAAAAAAAATAATTCTGAATTTATACCAAATCAAGATTCTGATGAAAACCAGGAGAGCCAAGCTCCAGCTACTGACCGACAGAACCGTAGCTCAAGACAAGACACAAACCTGTGCACCAGCTGGATTGACTAGTTGGTGACTTTTAAAAAGACAATTGAACAAACAATAGAAACATTATCTCTTGTTTAATGTTCTGTGAAAGTACATCAATAATAACAAGAGTGGTTTTCAAAATGATTAGGTTTTCTATATCGATATGTAAACATTTAAGACTGGTACTAATTTCAGGAACTGACAAGATCAATGAGGTGTTTTCACAATTGAACACTACATTTCAGCAAATCTTAAATATGTGCAGAGTTTTCAGACAAGTTTGACGAACACTAGATGATAGAATTCTGCTGGTTTTGACTGATACATTAAAATGTAATTGCATTTGCGCGCGCACACACACACACACACACACACCAACTTTAGTACTAAATACAATGCAACTTCATATAGAAAGCACTTTAAAACAACACCGTTGGCCAAAGTGCTGTACACAAACACAAACAAGTACAAAAACAATAAAATCAACAGATACCATAAAAGTAATGAATTATCCAAATCATAAAACAGAAAACTGTAAAAAAAAAAAAAAAAAAACTTAAAAACTGTAAAACCCACATTTCAAGCTGAGTTAAAAGCCAAAGACAAAAAAAATGTGTCTTCAGAGAAGATTTAAAAACAGGAAGTGAGTCAGCTTGTCTCATGTGCAAAGGCAGTTCATTCCACAGTTTAGGGGCAGCGACTGAAAACATTCGGTCACCTCACCCAGATCAGCAAGGACATTGGAACCATCACAACAAGACCTCTGTCTTTTTCTCATTGAAATGTAAAAAGTTCTGAGACATTCATGTTGACTTCTGCCATACATTTCAGGAGTTGATTCTCGGAGTACTGTTTGTCTTGTTTTAATGGAACATAAATTTGGCTGGCATCAGCATAAAAATGAAAAGAAATGCCATGTTTCTGGAAAATTTATCCCAGAGGGAGTAAATAAAGGGAAAACAGAAGGGGACCAAGTATAGATCCCTGAGGTACTCCACATGTGAGAGGTGCTACAGAGAAGGATTCCACAGAATCAATACGCACACAGAAGCTTCTCTGTATGTAAATAAGTCAATACTTACTTGGGCACATCACAACTGAGATTTTGCTCTTTACACCATAACTGAAACAATTTTGTCAAATGAGGTGAGAGGCGTATGGTGGGCTACAAGTGCAAACAAGATGCAAACAGCTAAACGCACAGCAAATGGTTAAAACGTATTGCAAATAAATGAATGATGCAAACTCCATAACAAAAAACACAAATGCAACAGAAAAATGCTGCAAAAGGAAAAACATGCAATCACAGAAAATAGAAGAAACATTCAACCAAAAAAAAAAAATGAATGCAAAGGAAAAATGCTGCAAATACCAAAAACGCTAAAAAAAACACTAAAACAACTGCAAGTAAGAAATGCTGCAAACACAGAAAAGAAAAAACAAAACAAAACGGAAGTTCACCAGACCACTAGGGGGCCTCAATCACCATGGGACCAGACCCCAGTAAATACATTACAGCTGAGCAGCCACTGGTCAAACATTTTAAGAGTTTAATGTGCACCAAGTACTTAAAGCTTCAACCTGTTTTAAATTCAAATTCAAATATACTTTATTAATCCCAAAGGGAAATTATTTGTTATTGTAACTCATTATCCTCATTTCATTAAGAGATGTTATAGAGGCTGATGGCTGTGGATAGGAAGGATCTCTTGTAAAGGTCCATCCCACAGTGGATCCTAAGAAACTGGCTGCAGATGCCGTCCGATCTGTCCACCCAGACTTGGCTGGCCTCTCGGTTCCCCTGGACTGTAGGACCGCCCGAATGCAGGGCAGAACTCCTCCCAGAGCGATGGCCACTCCTCCCAGCAGTCTGCCGAGCTCCTCGTTGCTGTAGACAGCCAACTGTAGGTGCCGAGGGACGATCCTGTCATTCTGCTGTCATGAGGCATGTTTCCTGCTAGTTCCAGGATCTCAGTGGTCAGGCACTCGAGCACAGCTGGCAGGTAGATGAGAATGCATCCACAGAACATACTTTCCAACTCTTTTGAGATTTGGGGCTGTAGATGAGATATTATTTGAGCTTTTGAGATGTTAATCAGCTGCTGTTGGTTGTAGAAAACTGCCTTGTTGCCATGGTTACTCATAACAAATGTCCAAAACTAAAAACGTTTCAGTAAAAATTCTTCCAGCTGCACAGCATCCGATACTAGAGGAAGCAATTATCCAAAAAATGTGATTTACATCCAGAAAAAGAGGAATTAAAGTTTCCAAAAGCAAAATCTCAGAATGAAAGTAACAGAGCTGCTTCAACATGCAGCCACCTTGAGCGGCGCAATTCAAATCATGTCATCTGGACCAGTTTCTTTAAGTGAGAAACGTTTCATCCACCATCTGGAAGACTGAATCCGGAGGACTTTGCTGTTTCAAGCCAACCTCCAGCTGGAATCTCAGAAGTAGACTTTTAACACATGCAAAACACACCCATCCAAAACAATCAATCATCCTGTACAACAATCAAATGATTTAGGCCAGATGGCCAACTACTCACAGAAACAGTCTGAGGACAACGAAGGCCAAAGTGGCTCAGAAAAGTGTCTGCAAGCTCAACCATCCAGGCAGACAACAACAAAAAAGGTCAAATACACAAAAATTATTGGGAGTATTTATACTTTACACAGGCAGATCTTAGAAATGTGCCAGATCATCTTAGCTGGACTTACTGCTTGTTTTGATAACCTTACTGCCTATTTCCAATTTCATATTGTGGCAAAATTGTCTACTACTTTCTTTTTAATGTTTATCTTAATATAATGTCTCTGGTTTTCTTATGAAATAACAAATTACATGATTTAAAGTCATTGTCTTGCCATTGTTTAATTTTCTGCCTTACTTTACCTTTAACAGCAGCTACTTTTTATTTCCTTACATTACCAAAACCTCTCTTTACTTGAGACATTTCATGTATCCTTGCATAATATTAAAGTATTATGATTTAGAAAGTGTCAGCTCAGCTAAAATGTATTTACAGGGGATTTGGTCCCATGTGACTTGGTGGAAAAGCCCCCCTAGTGGTCTGGTGCACTTGTTTTTTGGAGTTTGTAGCTTATCTTATTTTCAGTTGTGTTGGCGTTTTTGGTATTTGCAACATTTTTCCTTTGCATTTTTTTTTATTGTGTGTTCCTTTATCTATTTTCTGTGATTGAAGATTTTTTTCTGTTGAATTTGTTTTTCTGTTTAGGAGTTGGGATCATTCATGTGTTTGCAGCACGTTTTAACTGTTTGCTGTGCGTTTAGCTGTTTGCAGCTCATTTGCACCTGTCGTCCACCGTGGAGGAGGGACTCTTCAGCGACTAGCCGTGAAAGACGTACCTCTTCTAGTGTAAGTTGAACTAGACTTTAACAGAAGCTCTCGTATTAAAAAAACAAATCACCACATAGTGGTCAAATATAAAAATCAAAAGTTTGGTAACAAAGGTACAAAGAAAAATACATTACTGAAAGAAATGTGTTATTTATAATATAACATTAAAAACGACAAAACAAGGGTTTTTATTCACAGCTAGACTGTTTTTCTCTGATGTGGATTCCCATGTGTATGTTTAAAGTTGACGTCCATCTAAACCTTTGTCCACAAAAATCACAAGCAAATGGTTTGTCTCCTGTGTGGACTATCATGTGCGTCTTTAGATTACCCTTTGTCTTAAACCTTTTTCCACAGTCTTCACAACTAAACCATTTCTGTCCTGTGTGAACTATCATGTGCGAGTTTAACTGTGACTTAAATCCAAACCTTTGTCCACAAAGATCACAAACAAATACTTTCTGTCCTGTGTGAACCCTCATGTGTCTGTTTAAAGTTGCCTTCCGTCCAAACCTTTGTCCACAAATATCACAAACAAATGCTTTATGTCCTGTGTGACTTATCATGTGTGACTTTAGATGACTCTTTGTGGTGAATCTTTTTCCACAGTCTTCACAACTAAACCGTTTCTGTCCTGTGTGAACTATCATGTGTGAGTTTAACTGTGACTTATATCCAAACCTTTGTCCACAATGATCACAACCAAATGATTTCTCTCCTGTATGGACTATCATGTGTGTCTTTAGATTACTCTTCGTGTTGAATCTTTTTCCACAGTCTTCACAACTAAACTGTTTCTCTCCTGTGTGGACTATCATGTGTGTCTTTAGATTACCCTTTCTCTTAAAGCTTTTTCCACAGTCTTCACAACTAAACTGTTTCTGTCCTGTGTGAACTATCATGTGTGAGTTTAAAGTTGACTTCCGTCCAAACAGTTGTCCACAAAGATCACAAACAAATGCTTTCTGTCCTGTGTGAACTATCATGTGCGAGTTTAAATGTGACTTCTGTCCAAACCTTTGTCCACAAAGATCACAAACAAATGCTTTCTGTCCTGTGTGAATTATCATGTGTGCCCTTAGATTACTCTTTGTGTTAAATCTTTTTCCACAGTCTTCACAACTAAACCGTTTCTGTCCTGTGTG